GTTACACCTGATCCTGATCTTTGATTGGCTGATAGACGTCGGAAAATCATGTGACAGTAAAATCGATCCTACGCCCTATACGACCAAATGCTTTTTTCACGCATCTACCAATCACAATTCATACACGTGATTTTGTGCTTTTTTTTGCTTAATTATGCGAAGCAATACGATGCGAAAAAATAGCCATCGCATAATTCTGGAGCTAATCGTTCAAATCACTAATTCAAATGAATTGTAGTATATCATACTGGGGTTATTTGTACAGTACATAGCGATAGATAAATTTAAGGTTTCAATTTTGCTGTTACAAGGATAGGGGTTTTATAGTAGTCTATGTCTTATTAATTATCCTCGTATGTATCAAATGAAAAATATTCGTATATCATTCAGATTCCTTTGAGACTACTTGAATACAAAAAATACAAAAACATTTGTTAATAATGTTTGTAAAAGATTCTTATACAAAAATTTATAAATAAATACCAATATGTAATAATACAATAAAGATCAGAACTGGAATCACTCGATTCGGGTAGATCTAAATAAAATCGAATTAATATTAAGGAAACAAGGAAACTAGCATACATAATACTATCTAGCTGCTACATATTTACTTTGATTTATAATATTACTAGATCGCATACTGAAATCGCTTGCAAGATATTTTGAAAAGCTAGGAATTTTGAGCAGTTGACTCGTGTAACGTGCTGTTGGATGTATTTTTGATGCAAGAGGTTGAATTTTTTTTCGAGGAAATTCCTTTGATCTTGCAAATTGTTTATATAGCACGGAATCTTTGTTATCCTTTTCTTTCCACCATTCATAAATTGTTGTGTATAACTCATTTGCATCTGGACGATTAGCTGGATTAGAATCCCAACAACGCATAATGAGTTGTTTAAATAAATCCGGTACTTCGGGTTTAATTGTCGGACGTTTATTGTTGCAATCAAATACTAATAAATGCTCATCATACGAAATATTATAAAAAGGTGATATTTCGGAAAGCAATTCATTCATAATGACACCAAAACCGTAAACATCAGATGCTTTGTAATAATAATATCCTGATCCGTTGGGAATTAGCGGAAACGGAGTTTCCGCTTATTCACATACGGTCAGGGTATTATTAATTAATACTCCCGTGATCTTGATATAGTGATCGGGGTATTAGGATAAATAATCCCGGTCACTATTTTGATCACTATCCTAATCATTAAATGCGAAAAAATCTTTAATAATTAATTTTTATATGGTACCGCATATAGTTTTGTCGAACATAGTTGACCGAATACCCCAACTACGCATGTAATATATTTTATTTTTACTGTAAAAAAAAAATCGCAAATCACATGGTTAATATGGTTTTCAACGTACAAATGCTCAATTCATTAATTATTTAACACTTTAATTTTGGGCGGGTGGGTATTTCCATAAGTGGATGCGTGTCACTGTAATACTTGCCAGTGTGTCTTGTATTCTATGATTTGTGTTGCTAATAGTGCATCGATCGAAATTTCAAGAAAGGAAATTCTCATTCGTCATTTTTTACTTTATAGTCTAGTGGCCACTGGCTATGACCACTAGCTATGGCCACTATACTACCAAAAGATCAATCTAAACTAAAAAACTGCAATCTGCAATTGCAAAAAAACTTTATCACGAGCACGATATTATAACGATGGATAAGAAAAAAAAAAAAAAAAATGCGATGCCGACTATATTTTACATTGGTTTGTTAGTTTTGATTTTCGCTTTTGTCAAAATTTTTGTTTTGTTTCAGATTTTTTTGCCGGTCTGATGATTTGATAATCTCTGATCATATCGAAGGCCTCCTGGCGAGACAATTTCTTTCTTTAATAACGAACGAAAGCATCGGTAACTTTGTCGATCCTTTCTGATTATGTTATGTACAGTATTATGACTTACGATCCAGCGCTATCAATTTTTCATTTCTGTAACATTATCACACGGTGGTGTATACAACACATATGCATACATAATGCGTATATTAAAACGTGACTTAAAATTCCGGAAAAGTGATATCACTCTGCACAACAATCGCAATTCTTGATTGTGTGCCATGCTTGTGGTGTAGACAAATTCTTTAGCATATCTGGAATGTGTGTCAGGTTTGTGGCGCAACTGTGGCGTAAATTACCTAAACTGCGAATCAGATTTCAAGATCTGGTATAACGTAACACGATCCGAAAAACAAACGTTCGCTTTGTCAAAAATCGCCTATTTCTTGAAAATTTATATAAGAAACCGGCTTTAGTGCTCTAACAAAAAGTTTTTCTCGAGCGATTTTGCTATATGTTCACCCAATCTTTAACCTTATTCTAAACGCTAACCCTAACATTAACGAACTTTAAAGAAATTTTGCTGCGCCACAAACCTGACACACATTCCAGATATGCAATTCTTTAAAGTTTATGTTAAATATGTTAAGGTTAAGCGTCTATATTATGGTTAGACAATCTAGAGGTATGTAGTAAAATTGCGCAATAAAACTTTTTGTTAGAGCACTAAAGGTGGTTTCTTACGAAGGTTTTCGGAAAATCAACGATTTTGATAAAACGAACGTTTACATCTAATCTTGAGATCTGATTCGTAATTCAGGAAATCTGCGCCACAAACCTGGCACATATTCAAGGAGTGCATAACAATCATCTACTTCAAATGAACTGTAAATTTAAGGCCAACTGCTGAAGTGTTAGTAGATAAGCTGAGACAATTTTATAATGCTTTGGAAGATGAAGAAACAGAATTATACAAACAAGTTGAAGAAATTAAAAACTCAAGCCAAAATTCTTCAATACATTATCAAGCAAATCAAGCAAAATCGACTCGTTTTCATTATCAAACACACAAAAAAGCTATTTATACAAGTCGATCTTTGAATTTTCAAAAACTTCCTAAACCAGTAAATGCAAATGCAGGTAAGCATATTATCTCTCAGAATATTGGCCTTAAATTTACAGTTCATTTGAAGTAGATGATTGTTATGCACTCCTTGAATATGTGCCAGGTTTGTGGCGCAGATTTCCTGAATTACGAATCAGATCTCAAGATTAGATGTAAACGTTCGTTTTATCAAAATCGTTGATTTTCCGAAAACCTTCGTAAGAAACCACCTTTAGTGCTCTAACAAAAAGTTTTATTGCGCAATTTTACTACATACCTCTAGATTGTCTAACCATAATATAGACGCTTAACCTTAACATATTTAACATAAACTTTAAAGAATTGCATATCTGGAATGTGTGTCAGGTTTGTGGCGCAGCAAAATTTCTTTAAAGTTCGTTAATGTTAGGGTTAGCGTTTAGAATAAGGTTAAAGATTGGGTGAACATATAGCAAAATCGCTCGAGAAAAACTTTTTGTTAGAGCACTAAAGCCGGTTTCTTATATAAATTTTCAAGAAATAGGCGATTTTTGACAAAGCGAACGTTTGTTTTTCGGATCGTGTTACGTTATACCAGATCTTGAAATCTGATTCGCAGTTTAGGTAATTTACGCCACAGTTGCGCCACAAACCTGACACACATTCCAGATATGCTAAAGAATTTGTCTACACCACAAGCATGGCACACAATCAAGAATTGCGATTGTTGTGCAGAGTGATATCACTTTTCCGGAATTTTAAGTCACGTTTTAATATACGCATTATGTATGCATATGTGTTGTATACACCACCGTGTGATAATGTTACAGAAATGAAAAATTGATAGCGCTGGATCGTAAGTCATAATACTGTACATAACATAATCAGAAAGGATCGACAAAGTTACCGATGCTTTCGTTCGTTATTAAAGAAAGAAATTGTCTCGCCAGGAGGCCTTCGATATGATCAGAGATTATCAAATCATCAGACCGGCAAAAAAATCTGAAACAAAACAAAAATTTTGACAAAAGCGAAAATCAAAACTAACAAACCAATGTAAAATATAGTCGGCATCGCATTTTTTTTTTTTTTTTTCTTATCCATCGTTATAATATCGTGCTCGTGATAAAGTTTTTTTGCAATTGCAGATTGCAGTTTTTTAGTTTAGATTGATCTTTTGGTAGTATAGTGGCCATAGCTAGTGGTCATAGCCAGTGGCCACTAGACTATAAAGTAAAAAATGACGAATGAGAATTTCCTTTCTTGAAATTTCGATCGATGCACTATTAGCAACACAAATCATAGAATACAAGACACACTGGCAAGTATTACAGTGACACGCATCCACTTATGGAAATACCCACCCGCCCAAAATTAAAGTGTTAAATAATTAATGAATTGAGCATTTGTACGTTGAAAACCATATTAACCATGTGATTTGCGATTTTTTTTTTACAGTAAAAATAAAATATATTACATGCGTAGTTGGGGTATTCGGTCAACTATGTTCGACAAAACTATATGCGGTACCATATAAAAATTAATTATTAAAGATTTTTTCGCATTTAATGATTAGGATAGTGATCAAAATAGTGACCGGGATTATTTATCCTAATACCCCGATCACTATATCAAGATCACGGGAGTATTAATTAATAATACCCTGACCGTATGTGAATAAGCGGAAACTCCGTTTCCGCTAATTCCCAACGGATCAGGATATTATTATTACAAAGCATCTGATGTTTACGGTTTTGGTGTCATTATGAATGAATTGCTTTCCGAAATATCACCTTTTTATAATATTTCGTATGATGAGCATTTATTAGTATTTGATTGCAACAATAAACGTCCGACAATTAAACCCGAAGTACCGGATTTATTTAAACAACTCATTATGCGTTGTTGGGATTCTAATCCAGCTAATCGTCCAGATGCAAATGAGTTATACACAACAATTTATGAATGGTGGAAAGAAAAGGATAACAAAGATTCCGTGCTATATAAACAATTTGCAAGATCAAAGGAATTTCCTCGAAAAAAAATTCAACCTCTTGCATCAAAAATACATCCAACAGCACGTTACACGAGTCAACTGCTCAAAATTCCTAGCTTTTCAAAATATCTTGCAAGCGATTTCAGTATGCGATCTAGTAATATTATAAATCAAAGTAAATATGTAGCAGCTAGATAGTATTATGTATGCTAGTTTCCTTGTTTCCTTAATATTAATTCGATTTTATTTAGATCTACCCGAATCGAGTGATTCCAGTTCTGATCTTTATTGTATTATTACATATTGGTATTTATTTATAAATTTTTGTATAAGAATCTTTTACAAACATTATTAACAAATGTTTTTGTATTTTTTGTATTCAAGTAGTCTCAAAGGAATCTGAATGATATACGAATATTTTTCATTTGATACATACGAGGATAATTAATAAGACATAGACTACTATAAAACCCCTATCCTTGTAACAGCAAAATTGAAACCTTAAATTTATCTATCGCTATGTACTGTACAAATAACCCCAGTATGATATACTACAATTCATTTGAATTAGTGATTTGAACGATTAGCTCCAGAATTATGCGATGGCTATTTTTTCGCATCGTATTGCTTCGCATAATTAAGCAAAAAAAAGCACAAAATCACGTGTATGAATTGTGATTGGTAGATGCGTGAAAAAAGCATTTGGTCGTATAGGGCGTAGGATCGATTTTACTGTCACATGATTTTCCGACGTCTATCAGCCAATCAAAGATCAGGATCAGGTGTAAC